TTTCGTTTTAAATGAAACACCCTAATGAACATTTTGAGTCAAAAAACACTAAAACTAAATATTATGATTTTTTTCACTTTTCAAAGCTTTCAAATATACGAATTTTTAAATTGAAAAAAAATAATTCTGGGATAGATTTTGTGGGAAATTTTATGCTCTACAAGAATCCGCGACGTAAAATTTTTTATCTCAAACGGTTCAAAAGTTATATTTTTTTTAATGAAAAAAGATTTTTTTACGTGTTTTTTCAATGGAAAACTTAGAATGCTCACCGACACCTTTTAAAATTGAGCAAAAAATTTTTCCTTGCAGGAAAATTTTTTGCTCGGTATGTAGGTTCATTTTAACCCATAAATCCGATAGGTTAGTTTTTTTGGCTCACCCTAATGGTCATTCATTGTTACTACACTTTTAAAAAGTTTGGTTTAACAGAATTCACGGGTTGACTTAATTTTTCGTTTTCGAGATATGTAAAATTAAAGTTGCAACAACGCACTATTAGTTAGGGAGCTGGTGGCAGAAATTTTTAAGTCATTTGTTCGCGTGGCAGAAGTTGAAAATAATGAAGTTTGGATTATTTAAGTCACTAATGACAACTTCTGCCATACCATTATTGCTTCATTATTAATTAGTAGGTAATTAAATATTTAAAAAAATGTCCTTAAGTCATTTGCTCGCGTCTGGCATTTTTTTTAACTTGAAGTCCCTAACAAGACTTTCAGATAAATATCATCATATTTAATTTTTTTTTTAATTATGGCTATTACAAGCGGTTTTTTTTTTACTTTTAACGTTAAAAAATCATGTAATCTTTCGATTCCCCAAGTTTGGTGACCCTCAGTTACACTTCCGTATGGGGTCAGAGGTCAAACATATTTTTTTATTACTTATTATTATTTTTTTTACCTAATATGGGCAATTAAATACATTAAAAAATAACCTTGAAATTTAAAATGAGGTCATGGGGTCATATGATCTTTTAACCCCCCAAGTTTGGTAACCCCCGTACAAACATTTTATTTTTATATTATGTTAATTGAAATAAAAAAAAAATTTAATTGTTAAAAGGTCTAATAAAGTGCGAAAGTTTTCAAATTTTAAGATAACATTGGAGAAGATATAAGAATGATAAATCCGGTTTTGCACCCTTTTCCGTTGACCAAATTATTGTTAACTTAGTAAAAATTATTAATACTTAAAAGAAAAAAGCAGCGTCCTAGGTCTGGCAAATGTTTTTTATTTAGTATCTATATATAGACATATATGTTAATTTAAGGGGACAAAAATGAGCAATTTAAAATATTTTTCTGCAAAAAGCATACATACCTACAAGACTGGCATAATTTTATTTATGGGACAAAAATTAACAATTAAAAAATAAGACATATCATTTAATAGAACATTTGTTTTTTACAAATTAACAATTGAAGACTACAAGGAAAAAACGTGCAAAGTCAATTTGGATATTTTTTGGTTTGGCAGCTAAAAAAGCAAAGATAATGGTATTATTTTTTTTACACTTAACATTACTGTTTACTATAATGTTGTTTTAATAGAGTTCCTAAAAGCAGTTAGTTTTTAAAAGGACCCAGAGATTACACAGTATTCAAGTTTAAAATTCCTCTTCTAAAAATTTAAGTTTTTTGACTGCACGTTTTTTCCTATACTCCTCAAAATATTTTTTTAGTATCTATATAGCCAATTTAACATACAACCTAAATGGCAGACACGAGGAAAATGACTTAGTCTAGGTATTATTTTTTACAATTTTAAAAATTATTTGCTGCAAAAAGCAGAGACATACATGTCTGGCATTATTTTTTTTTTTAGGGGACACAAATGAACAATTAAAAAAATAAGATAAAGACGAGCAAATCACTTAATAGAGCATTTGTTTTTTACATGGTTAAAACTATTTAAAAAAAAACGCAGCGTCCTAGACCTCTGGCAAATGTTATTTTAGTATCAATATGGTCAATATAATATAAAACCTAAATGCCATACACGAGCAAATGACTTAGATTAGGTTTTATTTTTTACAATTTTAAAAATTACTTAAAAAAAAAGCAGCGATACCTGAGCCTGCCACCTTATTTACTTAGTTCTCAAGCATCAAAACTCTATAACATATCATTCTCAACGACGAGCAAATCATATACCGAAATTGCCACCAGCTCCCCAACTATATGGTTTATCGGCGGAAAAAATATCATTAGTTTTTTTCTAGGACGTCTAGAATTAATAGTATATTACACTAGAAGGGCAGAAAGTGTGAGATTCTCTCTCTCACACTTTCTGCCCGTGTAGTGTATACTATTTTTCTTACCCCCCTCGGCCGAAAATACAACCCGGCCGAAAATACGGGAAAAAATTAAATGTGTATTTATGTACCTATCTCCATTTGAAGAGCTTGATAAATAAATAACAGTAGGCCGTGAATTCAGCGGTGCCAATACAGTAAAAATAAAACTTTGTATTTTAATTAACAAATTACTACTTTATAACAAATAAAAGTACCATTAAACCATTTAAAGTAAAAACATAAATTGTTTATTTGTTGTTATAATTGCAAAATTATGGTTTAAAACTGTCATATTTTTGTGTTTCTCATGTTGGCAGTACGAAATTTGAATGTTAAGCACACGACTAAAAAATTTTTACTCCCGCTATTAGAGTGTGCGCGTATAGCTTGACCAATGCATAAAACGTAAACTTTCTGCCGTGGAATCGGGGACGAAACAACGTATTTTGAGTAGAGGTATTAAGAAACAATAATTTCGTAATAAAATGCTCAATCCTCTCAAATTGTAAGTTTTTTGTTAGTATTTTAATTATTTATTAAATTATTTTGGCTTAAATTTATCTTGAATGTGCTAAAGTAATTGGTAGGTATACGGCAAATAGATCATATTTATCTTAGCAATATGACATTTTAAATACTAAAACTAAAATTTTAATGTATTTTATGTAAAAAAACAACCATTATTTGACATTTTTTGTCGTTTATTTTAATTATTAAATTGAAAGGGCAACAAAGTAAACAAGTTTCAGTATTTTTTATCCTTAAATTTATTAAATCGTATCAAATATATTGGATTATAGTTTTATTGTGCTTAATCCTCATCGTCGTCGTACATCTTTTGCTACAAATTCCAGCAAATGTCTCCTAGCAATGAATCCAACTTCTTTCCGCTATACCCATAGATATCTACAAATGCTCTAGATTTGCAGTTACTTGGTGAAATCGTTCTCCATGTTCATCAGTTCGGCAAATTTATCAGGATGAAAAAAAAGAAAATGTATTTTAAATGACATATTAACGCTAATCCTTTGCAAAACGAAAATCATTTTTTCAATGAATTGGCGCCAATTTTAGGCCCGATATGAACCAAGAACATTTTCAATGTCAGCTTTAACACTGCCATATGCGACAAGCTCGTCAACTTTGAGAGCATTTTTGAATGCTTGATCTTTCATTAAACGTGGTATATCAGGTCCATTTAATATTCCTGCAAAATTAAAGTAGTAGGTATATCTCATAAAATTTTGTAATGAAATATTGCGTTGGTTTTTCTTGGGCGTAAAGGTACCGCAACAAAAACAAAACAAATTTACAACGACGACATACATGTTCGTCTCCTTTCTCTGCCACTTCCATTTCCTGCTCTTTTTTCATTTTTGGTTCTTAAAATCACTTTCAAGTAAAAATACAATTTAAAGTTTAAATTTTAAATGTCAATGATTAAAAATTCATATTTGAATAAAAAAATAAGTTATAACGTTTTAAAGACACATTGGTAAAATTAGGAGAAAAAAATTCATATACCTAGGCATTTAACTAAGATTGCCTCCGATTTTCACGTTGATATCTATAGATATATACAACAGGTTGTTCAGTAAACTTTACTTTATAAGTACAGAAAAAATTTGCTTCATATACGCACATATGGAAAAGTTATGATTTTTATTTATCGCACTGCATGGCTAAATCGCGAGCGCTCGTACCCAACTAAGGCATTGTCTACGCACTCAAGATTTTCGTACCCACAGATCTTATACAAAGTATACTTATCCTATAGGATTAATAATTAATTACATATTCATAACAAATTAGATATTAATTAATAGATAATCCTTTGTTTTGTAGGTATCTTAAAGGAAAAATATTTTATAAATTAATTAATAATCCCTTGTTTTACATCTTTAAAGGTAAAATATTATTCGCTCATTTATAAGGTAATAATATTTTACATATCTAGCGAAATCAAATTTAACTTAGACTATTGCATTTAGTGATCTTTCAAAATGAGTACTTTCTGCGTTTCTTTCCACTTTTTAACAGAACTATTTTTAAATACATAGTGACAAAGACTACTTTATTTTCTGAAAATTTAAAGAGAAGATTTCCAATTTTGGATGAAAATCAAATCACACTTGTTATGGAAAAAAATTAAATTAACATTTTTATATAAGTTTAAGACAAAGTGGTTGTTATAACATCGGTGTTTAAATAACACATCTAAAAAAGGCATTTAAAAAATTAAGACCTTTATTTTTCTTTATTAAAATATAGGTAGTTAATTATACCTATTAAGTCTTATTTAACACAATAAAAAATAAAAAAATATTTCTTTTGATTATTTCCTCAATTTATGCTCTGGCACCATCTAAGACCCACTTAAAAAATAAAAACTGTTTTCAATTAAAATACAGTTAATTATATGTAATAAGTCATATTTAACAAAGTAAAAACATCTATCTAAAAACGCATTTAAAAATTAAAAACCTTTGTTTATTTATTTATTTTAAAGTTTTAAACAAAATTGTAAATAAACGCAAAATTATTTCTTTATTTATATTATATAAAATATAAACCCAAAACTTACCGCTCAGTATTACTATCGCCACCTGCCTGCCAGACGCAAAACCTCACTTTGTCGCAATATCGATAAAATCGCATACACAGGTTTCAATCCAGGCTTTAAAATAAAACACGTATGCTTAAATAGATATTTTTATTTATACATTTAACAGAGTAACTACCAAGTATCTATACAGAAGCTAAAAATTAGTAGAAGGCTCTAATCCTAATAAGAAAACAAGTTTTACACAATTAAGATGACAAAAAATAAAAACAACAATAAAACAGTGCATATACTCCACATAAGTAATACATAATATATTATACACTCATGTTTTTAAGTCTAGAGTCTATCAGCCAATTTGACTAACCCAAAAGTGCTTAAAATATTTATATGGCAATATACAATTCCTTAGATTACTTATGTATGTATCAAACATATATGACTTGTCTTGGTGAGTTTTTATTGTCACACATGATAAAAGTTAAGTTTCATAGTATATACAGTATATTTAGAACGGTGGTTAATAAAACAAATTTTAGTGTGGCTATTGGAAAGGATAAAATAATTTATATAATGATACATTATAATTTTAATTATTTAAAGTACCCCATGGAAGCTTTTTTAACTTTAAATTACCCATCACATTTTATCACCAGAGTGTATTAGTTTAAAGGACCTTTCAACTTTTAAAATGACCAAAATAAATATATTAAAATCTTAATTCAGAAACACAGCATGTATGTAAAAAAACAGTACGTTCATATTACATATGGACGGCCTTAAATAATTATAAACTTAAAAAAAATCGCAACGAAAATTCGGGGCTTCATCTACCTTAATATACGATTTTTTTCAGATATGATATAATTACATTAATAATAATATTGGATATGTACAAAATTACAGCTATAATTGTACCCTCAGTTAATAATTTTTCTATTTACACGCACACAATAGGATGGCATACCAAAAAATAAACACTTTGTATTTACTTTCAGTGTGGGGGATTTAATGGAACAGCAAAGACTGATGGCCCATGGGATTTGGGTTCTGCGGTACAGCACCCATTGTTGGTACCATTGGGTTTGTGGACATTGGACGCAAACCCTAGCGAAAAAAAATCGTAGCATTTCTTTCATATATACAGGGTGTTAAGTAATTAATGTTATATATTAAAATGGGTTGTTCCTTAGGGTCCATAAAGAAGCACCTGAAACTTTTTTTTTCTAAATTCCAAAGTCTAAAAATAATTTATAATAACCTTTATCCTACCAAAAAGTACGCCACTGATCGACTAGGAACTTTAGGTTAATCTGGTGGATTTATTATGTTATGGTTGGTAACAACTGTTTCCAAAATCTTTCAAAAAAGTTGCCAAGCATTGTTTAAATTTAGCTTAATTACAAAAATGACAAAATTAACAATGCAAATTGTCAATTTGGCGTTTTTATTAATTGTTGGTTATTTCATTTTTGTGCTGAAGGTAAATTCAAACAAAATCTGCCAACTTTTATGACAGAATCTAGTGCATTTCTTTTAAATTTTAGGTTATGTTTTCAAATTGTAAATATCTTAACTAAGGGAAGTGCTTTTGGATTTATTTACACAAATTAAATGTTTAAAGTTTAACCTGTGAACTGGTCCCAATTTCATCTGAGTAAACAGAGAAAAAAACTGATGAAAAAATTAATTTTGGTGTTATGGATTTCAAATTTCAAAGGTACTAAATTTTCTAATCATTGCTTAAGCTAATAGCTGGATCAGTAAATAAATACAGAAGGGTATTAGAGCTTTAAGGGCATAAAACTTTTGTATTTATTGAGTTTTTATTTATTTTTTGCAAGAAAAATTTTTAGTAACAATTTTTTACATCTGGCAACGCATAGCTACTTTATTGTTTGGTATCTATGTACTCACAAAATACAGGTGTGCAGAGATAAACAAGTGTGTAACCAGTGGCGTATCACAAAAAATATAAAAAACTTTTAATGCATATTTTTTCTTTATCTTTGGAAAAATGTTTTTTTAAATATTTTTCCTTTATTCCTTATGTCAAAAGGTATTCAGTATTTTAATATATAACATTAATTACATAAAACCCTGTATAAAAAACTCACCATCATTTGCATTTGAGGATATATTTGGCCTTGCAAAGGTGCAACCCCAAACGGTGAAGGAGCCAACTGTTGGTTCATTGGTTTATAACCAGCACCTGTGGTATCCGATATTGGCTGAGGGGACCAACTGTTGCTAGGTTTAGAACCGTTTTTGGGAGAATTCCATTGAATTCCCCTGAAAGAACGAAAAAATTGCAATAACCGTCGCAAACATAATCATATCATAATCACTCCATATGAAAACGCCGAAACTCGTTGCTCGACCATCTTGAATTTTGCTCAAGTTATATAGAAATATTCATTAGGGTCCCAAAGGACAAAATCCACCCTTATTTAATTTTACGCATGAGTCAAATCCGGCCTATTCGAATCAACACTTTTTCAAAACGTCATTTCTATGCTTTAATAATTTAAGCTTTAATTTTCTTTCTATTAAAGATATTTTAAATTTTAAGATGTCATTTTAATGCTAAAATATAGTAGTTTTTATAAAAAATATATAAATTCACTCAATCAATATTTCTAAATAATTACACAGTCCTAAAAAAACGTGTATTTTACAAATTTTTCGTGTTTTTAATATTAACAGTTTGGCATACGGTTTCCAAACAAAAAATTGCTAGAAATTTTGAAATTCTAGAAAATCGCATTATTTAGGCCGTTATATGAGGATGTTGACAAATAAAATTATGAAATTTACAGGATAATTAATCCCTACCTTGATGTTCAAATGCCTGGTAGTTTGATTTTGTTATTTTCATCTTTGAAGCTTATACAGTAGCTTTAAAAGGAGAAAAATATTGAAATATTAAAAAGTCGCATTATTTCATCCATTTTATAAGTATGTTGACTTCAATATAGAAATATGAATTTAACAGGATATTTAGTCCTTACCTTGAAGTTTAAATGCCTATTTAACTTGTTTTGATATTTTCATTTATTTTGCTTTTACATGGGCTTTAAAAGGAGCAAACATTGAAATTTAAAAAACGATTATTGTTTAATTTTCTATTCTAAGAATGTCTTGACTTTAAAATAGAAACATGAAACTTACAGGATATTTAGTCCTTACTATGATATTTGGCTTATGCATATTTATGTAGGTACTTATATGCATATAACTCATGCGATTTTTTAAAATTTTATTATTTTTTTTGCTGCTTTTAAAGCATCAGTACAATCACAAAAAAATAAAAAAAAGCAAAATGAGCTATACAAGCTTTTAAACTTTGTGATAAGGACTAAATTTCCTGTAAGTTTTATATTTCTATTTAGAATTTAACATTTATATGGTTTCAGGATAAAATTAATCGTTTTTTAATTTTCCATGTGTTAGCCTTTTTTAAAGCCCATGTATAAGCAAAATGGATGAAAATATCAAAACAAGTCAAACAGGCATTTCATTTACAAGTAAAGGACTAAATATCCTATTAATGTCATATTTCTATATTGAAGTCGACACTACTTATAAAATGGATGAAATAATGCGACTTTTTAATATTTCAATATTTTTCTCCTTTTAAAGCTACTGTATAAGCTTCAAAGATGAATATAACAAAACCAAACTACCAGGCATTTGAACATTAAGGTAGGGGCTAATTATCCTGTAAATTTCATAATTCTATTTGGAAGTCAACATCCTTATATAATGGCCTAAATAATGAGATTTTCTAGAATTTTAAAATTTCAAACAATTTTTTTGTTTGGAAACCGTATGCCAAACGGGTCAATTGTAAGTTATATTTTTTCTTTGGTATGTGAACTTTATATATGAAAAAAATTAGCTGTTTATATTAAACAGCCGAGACATGGGACGCATTTAAAAAACACGAAAAATTAGTAAAATACACGTTTTTTCAGCACAGTGTAATTATTTAGAAATATTGATTGAGATTAAGCCGGAGTTGACACATGCGAAAAAATAAATAAGGGTGGATTTTGTCCTTTGGGACCCTAATGCATATTTCTATAAAATTTGATCAAAATCCAAGATGGTCGAGCAACGAGTTTCGGCGTTTTCATATGGATTGACTCTAAACTTACTTTACAGGTGCCGTTCTGTTATTTATCGTCAGATTTTCCGCCAAGGAGGCCAGACTTGACTCCAGGTCCCCAGTAAGAAGACCGTTGTTATTTTGCGGGCTGTTGTTGTTGTTAAGGTTGTTTCCGTTCATGTTTTGCATGCCGTTGTTGATTTTGTTGTCGCCGTTGACGGTGTTCATTGGTTGGAGAACGCCCCCCAACGCGTCGAATCCCCCTCCGCTTGCTAGAAAAATTCATTGGAGGGGAATTTGTAGGTGCACGTTTTAAAGTATGTAAAACATGCAGTGAGAAAATATATTCGACGGTTTTTGTTTGTTTGTTAAACAATCAAGACATGCAAAAATTTTAGATGAAAATTTATACGAAATTATAATAAAAAATCTACGAAAATTAAATTTAACTCTTTAAAAAAATTGTAAAATTGGGCTAAAACCCAACATTTCATATTTAAATGTTTCTACTTATATATTATACAGCGGGCTGCGTACGAAAAAAAATCACGAAAAAAATTTCAGCCAAGTTCGTTTTTATAAGGAACTTGAAACATTTGATTATGTAGGTAACTGTATGTTAATATACTTTGGTAATTTTAATATCTAAAATTGGTACTCCTGTTCAAGCCCTTAATTTTAAATTATTTGATATTTGTACACTGGGAATGCAAATTTGCCTATTTTGGACCGTAAAGTCACCTATGTCACCTCTAAATTGTTTGCATTAGAGCTACTTTTTTTAATAAAAAATAATGAATTTTTGACAAAACCAGGGAGCCACTGGATGTCACTGACCCATCCTATATATTATCATTGTTTTACCTCTAAAAAAAACTAGCTTAAGGAAATATATCCTCTATATATAGCCCAAGAAGTCTTTCAGTGAAAGTGTAAAGCCCTTTTTTTTTCTTTGAGGTTATTAGGAAGTGAGTTATAGTTGTTTACTCCTTTAAAAAAGATTGAGTTAACGCCGTACCGCGATCTACAAGATGTACTGATTATATTTTACATTTTAAAATGTATAAACATATTCTTATAATTATAAAATAACCACAATTATATTCTCCACTTAACTAGTTTGTTCTACTCAACGCACAGTGTGTTAAATTGATTATCTAGCTAGACAAAACCTAAATGACATAAAAAATTATAAATTTTCTTTGGAAGCGGGGTATTTGGGTTCACTGAATCCAAATCTGACATCCAAAATGCAGAAATTAAATTCGTTAATTACAAAATGGCCGGCGCCTTGTGATAAAAAATAAACTTTCGGCTTCGTCGAAAATTGGTCAACTTTCGTTTTTCCAAAGAAACGCCCTGTATATTTTTGTATATTTGAAATCTGGAGAAAATTTTGAATCCGATAAATGCACATTCGCTACCATTTTGCAATTGACCTTGAATTTTTGTCCAGTTTTAGTTTTCAATCCAGAAAGCTGCAATTTGGAGAATCAATTAGTTTTACCATCCAAATTTGCAGTAAAATGCATAAATAGTAAATGTTGCTGATAAATTGTTTTTTTAATTAACTCAACTTTTTAAATACCATCAGAGTGGCTGCTAATGTTTTTTTAAATACATATGTTTTCCCCAATCAAAACCAACCAATGTCATAAAAATTCGGTTAGTGTTTTCCACGAAAATTACACTTATGGAAAACTTAAATTACAAAAAAAATTAAGATCATTATAAAATTCCCCTGAAAGTGTAAGTATCGAATTCAAAATTTTCTCCTGATTTGAAATATGCAAAGATATGCATAGGGTTTCATTGAAAAAACAAAAGTTGGCATTATTTCCGGGGAAACCGGAAGTTTTGTGGTATCCATTGAAGGTTGAAATAATTATAAATTAACTCTTTATTATTGCTCCCAAATTTCAACTCTATTTTAAAATTTAATAGTAAAAAAGGAGTGAGCCGGTTTTTGGTTTCACCCTGTAGAAGAGGCAAATTGGGGCAAGAAATAAAGGCACATAAGTAATCTTTAGACGTTATAAAACAAAACAAATATTGATAGTGCACCCGATATTGCTCGATTACAATACTTCTTGCTTAATAAATATTGTCCATATTTAACAACACCAAGTGAATTTCTATATATATAGCCTGTTGCTGATTACTGATATTATAAATCCCTAATTATAAAAAATAAGTAATATATACCTAGATTCATAGCGGCAAAGTTCAAAATTTGATTTAACTTGAAACAATGTCAAAATCACTCCACCTTTCTGCAACACATACACGGCTAAGTATATTTATAAAAAATGATACGCCCGGAACTGACGCCTGCACAGTGCTGAATACACTGTTGCAGTACGTTCTAATTAATGGAAATCATAACAGGGAGAACTGAAGAAGCTTATTTAATTAAATTTGTCTTAATTTCAGGTTGTTTTAAAATTAGGTTTTGTCTAGCTAGATAATTAATTTAACACACTGTGCAACGTAGCCAATTATAAATTTAGGGTCCCCAGAAGTTGCCAACTAAACCCCAAAACTTTTGAGGTTGTCAAATTCCGAATAAAAAAACGAAATGTAGTTTTCGAGTTATTATGTTTAAAACTAGGCAACGCTGTATTTTCCTAAGGCCATTCATGAGACATCTAAAAACCGTTGCTTTGTAGACAAAATATACTAGGCATTTTGTGTCAAAAAATTAAAAATTTATTTTAAAAACGTGTTTAAAAATGTTATTATGCTTTTAATTAAATAAAAAACATAAAATAAAATAACAAAAATAAAATTCCAAAAATTAAAGGTCGCGACGGAAAAAAATTGCATTTTTTTTTACTTTAAATAATAATCAGTTTATTTCATGCAAATACAGAATGTCCCAAAAGTCGGGCACCACCGTAAGGGTGTATAACAGACCCCAAGAAACACAGAAAATTGTTAAAATAAATTCTACCTTCTTTATTTAGATATTGAAATGTGAGTATTGTGATATGTATCTTGTGTTTTAAGAATGCTTGGAAAAGGAAAGAGTTCTTCAGCTAGTGTGTGTTAGGTAATATTAATATTTGTTTAGGGTTTCTTTATAGATTTAATCTATGGTTTTATTACTTTTGGAACACGCTGTATCTAAACCTGCATCAATTCCTTACTGTTAAGCATGTATACTAGCATAAAACTTTTAGCAAATAAATTTTACACTAAGAATAAATACAAATTTCAAGCATGAATTAATATTGATAATGATAAAAACACACAAACAAACACACAAAGACAAAATTTTGTGGAAATCACCTGAAAATGAGCGCCATCTAAACGAAGTGAAATCTACTAAACACTATAAACATCTAATGGTAGAAATGGTATTGTCAGGGATTACGTATAAGTCTAAATATATTATTTTAAAAAATATATCAAAATCTTAAAATCGCATACAAAAATTTAAATCAATCTACTTGTAGACATTTATCTTCTAAATTTACAGACTCAGTCTTAATTTGCGTGATTGGCAGAGTTTTTTTCGAAAGATGAGTTTTGTTGAAAAAATGTCAAAACGTTGTGTATGGGTTTGTTAGTGGTGTCGTTGGTGGGAGAGTCAATGTCAAGTAGCATTGGTGGTGTTTTGTCCTCTACTAAGAACGGATTAAAAGATTCTTCTGCAGCTTGTTAATAAAACAGAAAAGCACCTTGTTAGTACCTACATTTTTAAGCATTTTTTTATGATTAATAAGTTGTGTTCCAATAAGAATTTAAATTAAAAAATACACAGTATCTAATAAAATTCTCAGTTGTCAAGCTTAAGCTCTATTTAAGTTTTGAAGGAATTTTATTTAAATAGTGTTTTTCTCGAAATTAGATTCAAATTTGTAAAATTAGTACATTTTAAAAAAATGATTATTTTTGTCAAAATATTTTTAAAAACTTGTTTTTGACTATTAAAAATAATTATTATATGCAAAAAATTTTATACTTGGAGGGTAAGTAGTAAAGTAGGTCAATATTAATTTGGTAATAGCAAAAATATTATTCTGGAGTTTGTTTTGGCTAGGCTTAGCAAATGTAACAAAATATTTTTTCTAGTCGAATTTTACTGAACGAAATAGTCTAATTAGTAGATTTAAATTTAAAAAAAGTTATGATTGTTCTGGGGTTTGAACTCGGGTCTTTCGGTTGCTAAGCGGATGTCTTATCGCCGCGCTATGCCAGATAACCAAAAAAATTTTTTGCTTCAAAGAATATTTTTCATATTACCAAATTAATTTTGATAAAATTCATTAATAAAAAATTATGCACCTAAATATGGAAGTCAATTTATATCCAATCAAAATTTAAACCGTATGTGCTTCTAGTGCTTAATAAATGCTTAAGACACAACTTTCAGCTCTATATACATAATATTATGGGTGAATATGTGAAAATGATTTTTTTTATTTTTGCTGTTTCACTGTTATTCTAGAATGGTTTTTTTGGAAGCCACCAGGTCTAGTAATAACATAACATAAGTGGTTCTGCACTAATATAAGAATTTTAAGAAATCATACATTTTGAATATTAGAGCTTCACGGAGGTTAGGATTTCGTATGTTTTTATTAAAACATCCCTTTGTATAGTTGAAATAAGTTATTGTATCTTTTGACACCTTAAATTTTTTTAAAAATACAATTTTACATGGATAAAATATTTATTAAAAAAATCTACTTACTGAGATATTACACTTCACGGTTTTTAAATAGCAAATTAATTAACTTAAACTTTCGAATTATAAAACAGCAACACTCTCATCTGCATATAAATTCTAATTTTTGTAACACCTACATAAATGATTATAAAAATTATTTCTTTTAATTTTTAATAATATTTTATATTTGATTCGATTGCTTTGGATGTATTTAATTTACTTAGTGAACTGATATTTTTAGTATGCTTTTACTACCTCAGATATAACATATAGGTTAACCTAGAAAGAATAACAGTCACGGAGGATAGGTTTTATACTTTTAAAACATTGTAAAAAATAATTAATTGCGGTTAAAAATCTGGAACCTGAGCTGTAATATTTACTTAATTATGAAAGATCAAAACACAATAAAAGTGTAGGTCAAACTCATTTAGTTTTATTAAATATCACGGGGTAATACCATCGGGTGATATTTTGTGAGATTCACCCATATTTAGATGCTTATAACTTTTTATAAGTTATTAATACAGAAAAAAGTTTTTTTATTGCTGATTTTACGAATTTTAACGCAATTTTAGTTCTTGTTGGAACAAACTTCTAAAGCGGATATTGTGTAATTAATATAGTGTTAATCAAAAATAATTTTGTATGTAAATAAGTTGCTCTAGCCAATTAGTTTGGTTATGTATAAAATGATCTAAATTAAATGAAAGGTATTTAGATCCCTTTGGTGGTTAGTTAGGTAAAAAATATCGTGAAACTATATAACATGAAAGTGCTATGTGCACACCAAATTGTGCAACACAACATGCCTGTGTAAGAATAAATAAAAACGCATGAAATAAACCTGTGAAAATTGGATAATAATTTATACAATATTCCACCTTACTGCATACGTTTTTCTTGTTAGACATTAAAATACACAACATTGTAGACATAGTCCAGATGAAACTTACTTTTAACTTCCGAATTCCCAAAAACTGAAGCAAAACTGTTTTCCGATACAAACGCCCCATTTGAAACAGGTGGTTGTGTTAATGGAGTCTGGGCAAAACCTGAGATGATAAATGATTGTGTTAGCCATAATGAAACCCGAAAAAAAACATTTATTTTCGTCCCCACTTTGGGTATCCCTCAAGGAACAAAGTTAGGACTGTTACCATCAAAATTTCGTATTAACGATTCACCTTTAATGCAAGATCGTAAGAATTCTTATAAAAACCTCTTACTTACCGTTACCGTTGTTGCTCAACCATATTTGATTGTACGCGTTTTGCTGCACTTGCTGAGTTTGTCCTTGCTGAACGAAAGGATCAGAGAAAGGATTAGCAAGCTGCAGCAAATCCTCTGAAGCTCTTGGTGCTGAGGTGATAATTTGCTCTGAGGAGGCAAACGGATCTGGACCTACATATTACATCAAAATCAAATCAGATTTTATTATTAATATTATTACACTATGATAGTTTTAGAAACTTTTTTTCCCTAACATTGAGTTTAACTAATTTTGGACCGCTGATTTAAAAAATGTCATTTGTTTTTCTCTAGGGCGTAATAAAATGCTCTGCTCAATCACCTCAAAATGTAAGTTTTTTTGTTAGTATTTTAATTATTTATTAAATCATTTTGGATTAAATTTATCTTGAATGTACTGAAGTAATTGGTATACGGCAAATAGATCATAACAATATGACATTTTAAATACTAAAATTAAAATTTTTATGTATTTTATGTAAAAAACCATTATTTGACATTTTTTGTCGTTTATTTTAATTATTGAATTGAAAGGGCAACAAAGTAAACAAGTTTCGGTATTTTTTATCCAAATTAAGCCCACAAAATTTAATGCATTGCATAATTTTGCTTTTTTCTACCTTAAATTTATTAAATCGTATCAAATATCGAATTGAATTATAGTATTATTGTGCTTAATCCTCATCATCGTCGTACATCTTTTGCTGCAAATTTCAGCAAATGTCTCCTAGCAATGAATCCAACTTTTTTCCGCTATACCCATAGATATCTACCAATGCTATAGATTTGCAGTTACTTGGTAAAATCGTTTTCCATGTTCATCAGTTCAGCAAATTTATTAGGATGAAAAAAAAAGAAAATGTGTTTTAAATGACATATTAACGCTAATTCTTTACAAAACGGAGAGCATTTTTTCAATGAATTGGCGCCAATTTTAGGCCCGATATAAACCAAGAACATTTTCAATAACAGCTTTAAGACTGCCATATGCAACAACCTCGTATATAAGGTTCATTTAATATTCCTGCAAAATTAGTAGTAGGTATATCCCATAAAATATGTAATGAAATATTGCGTTGGTTTTTCTTGGGCGTAAAGGTACCGCAACAAAAAAAAAACAAATTCACAACGGCGACATAAAGGTTCGTCTCCTTTCTCTTTCTCTGCCACTTCCATTTCCTGCTCTTTTTTCATTTTTGGTTCTTAAAATAACTTTCAAGTAAAAATACAATTTAAAGTTTAAATTTTAAATGTCAAAAATTAATAGATCCATTTTAATGTGCTTGAATGATAAAGTAGGTAAAGGCGTCTTTGTACTTCATTTCGATATTAAATTTTGATAAGACTTAATAAATAAGATTGGAGATTGAATTTTTGGGTACTTTAGGCATGATGTGAATAAAAAAATATCAAATAATAGTCGAAGAGTAATGTTTATACCGAAACCCATTTACTTTGTTGTCTTTTCAATTTAATTAGTAATTAAAAAAACGACACAACAATTTCAAAAAATGATACTTTTTACCAAAAAAACATTATAATTTTAGTTTTGGTATTTAATACTACTATTATTATACGGCTACAATGAAACAAAAAAAAATATATTTGACATTTATCTACCGATGACTTTGTATGGAGTCCCTGTATATTTTTGACAAAAAAACGTCAAAAATATACTGATCATCCAAAATAGATTTAAGGCAAAATAATTTAATAAATAATCAAAATATTAACGAAAAACTTACATTTTGAGATAATTCGGCAGAGCAATTTATTACGCAATTATTTCGAATCCTAGACGTCCTGGAGCAAAACGAGTGGCATTTTTGAAATCAGCAGCCCAAAATTCGGTAATATAGTTGGGCGTATTCAATGTTAGTAATTCGAACTATCATAGTTTATTATTCACGGTGCTGTTCTGAGAGGTGATTTTTGGACTTTCTGTGTTTCTTGTTAATTAGGTCATAACTAAAATTTTAAGAGCAAAATAAAAAAAATTTAACGGTTAATTTTGTTTTAATTGGATGTTTATTAAAAATATGTATGCACACTTTCAATTCTCCAATTAAAACTTGCGATTTTATTTAAATATTATTATAACTTTTTAAATCAGATTAAAGATTAGTTAATTTCCTAAAAAAAAGTCTATACATGCATGTTTTATATCTTTTACTGTTTTGTTGTAATACACGTTTAAAGTTTTAATTAAAGGTTAAATGTATAGTATATATTTATTAAACAATAATTCTAAGGGTGCCACATTTTATTTAGGGCCGATTTATTCATTTTTGATTTATTTGACGAATAGTTTCTTTGGATACTAGATATTGCCAAGACATGAAAGTTATCGGCCCGATAAACTTTACTAAAGATGAATAAACCGGTCCTTAGTTAAATTTCATGAATTTCTTCGTAACTTTTACTACAATTTTTCATTTTTGTTTATCAAAAATACTTTAAAAAACTAAACAAAAATTATAGAATACGTATACTGAAAATGACAATTCAAACGTCAAATAAATTTTTAATAGATCTAAGTTTCATGGCAACCTTTAAGGATATATTAATTAAGGGAACATAAATGTATACGTCAAAGGTTAGATTAAAAGTTTGAACGTTTATTGCAACAAAACAGTAAAATATATAAAAAAAATTGTAAAAACCTTTTTTTTAGTTATGCAAATATTAAATATTTAAATTAAATCGCTAGTGTTAATTGGATAATTGAAAGAGTGCATAATATTTTTAATAAACAGCCAATTAAAACAATTCAAACCGTCAAATTTTTTTTATTTTGCTCTTAAAATTTTAGTTATGACCTAATTAACAAGAGTATAAAAAAAAATTAGGTTTCACAGAAAGTCCAAAAATCACCTCTCAGAACAGCACCGTGTATTATAATTACCTCCTGCAGAAACTGAAGATACCGTCGCGCTCGACGAAGAGTTACTCAAAAACGGATTGTTCAAGGAAGCGGGCGAACTCACTTTGGACTGAAAAACAATCGTTTAGCACGAAAATTATGAGTTGTTCGTTGAAAAAATTACGGTTACTTTGAATTGGTTGATGGCCGCCTCTTCTTCGGCCAAAATTTGCAGCTTCAGGTTTTCGTCGATACCGTTAGATGGCGCGTCGAAACGCCCGTTTGCCACCACGTTACCGAATGCGTTGCTAGTCGACGATAGAGCCGATACAGCGGACTTGACGTTCTTTTTGTTGCTACTAAAATAAGTAAAGCATAATATTACAATATAAAAAAATAAGTATGTATGGAAAAAATCATGTTTTCTTTACAGGGTTTCAAATTATAATATTCGCAAAAAACAAGGTCACATAGTATCTACAGTGAAATATGATAAGTGACAGCATACCTGGCAGACTAACCCCCTACCAATAAAAAGTACCTCACGTGAAGAACAAACGAGGCTAATCAAGAGAGAAAAGGGTCATCATCTGCAAAAACCGATAAGTAATCATAATAAATCGCATTACCTAATACGCAAATACCTTTACTACCCTAAGAGTGGTTCTTTTCGCGTTATCACAACCACTAGAAAAAAACAAATACCAACACAATCGTAACAAAACAATGTAAAAAAAAACATTAGCAAGGCGTTCCTATTTCGTATAGCAGTCATTTACTGGAATAGCAGAGCAGTATAAATAAACACATATAAATTGTATTTTCATCAAGTTTGACCAAAAATTGTCATATCCCAACGCGATAGCACAAAAACTGCATGAAAATATAGACTAAAGTATAGTTATTTTTGGCCAACTTTGTTTGTAATGAAGTTTGGTCGAAAATTGGAAAACAATTGATCAGCATGGAAAAAGAATCAGTTTACTATGCGTAATAGCGAGTTATATGTAGGGTTGCAACTTTTCATGAAAAGTTGAAATTTTTGAAAAGTTGGGTTTTATTTTTCGGAAAAGTTCGGAAAAATTGTAAAAGATGGAAAAGTTGAGTTTTTTGTAATGTAAACGTATAAAACATAAATAATGCTTGTCAATGTATTAAAATAATTTATTTCTTATGTATTAATACATACTTAACAAAATAACAAAAAAAAATATCAAACAAAATAAAATGAACAGAAGTAAAGCAAATTATAACAATAATAAAAAATTATAAAGTTTGTATAGAAAAAATCTTTACAAGGTTGCACCTTGCCGACACGGAAGTCATTAAGTGAAATGTGATAAGTGACAGCATACCTGGCAGACTAACCACCTAACAATAAAAAGTACCTTACGTGAAGAACACACGAGGCTAATTAAGAGTGAAAAGGGCCATCATCTGCAAAAACCGATAAGTACTCATAATAAATCGAATTATAATAATAATAGGTATACCTATTACGCAAATTTGCAACAATAACCTTAACTGCCCTAAGAGCGGTTCTTTTCTAACTAAGTTTGTTGTACGATATTTTACATTTATTGGGGTTTATTTGCACATATAAATTGTATTTTCATCAAGTTTGACCAAAAATTGTCATATCCCAACGAGATAGCACAAAAACTGCATGAAAATATAGACTGAAGTATAGTTATTTTTGGCCAACTTTGTTTGTAATAAAGTTTGGTCGAAAACTGGCAAACAATTGATCAGCATGGAAAAAGAATCAGTTTACTATGCGTAATAGCGAGTTATATGTCACAAAAATTAAATGAATTTTTCAAGACCTTTTTCTCTACAAAAATGCATGAAAAACTGCTTGTGTGACAGTTGTTTAAAAAAATTATAATCATCGGTACATTAACTGAACGCATGTTAAGTTTTAAACAGCTTTAAGTTTTGAGTAAGTAATTAAGGTTATGTTTTCAAGTTTTTGAATGAATAATAATTCAATTGTTGAATAATTTCTTACATTTTACAGATTGTTATTCCCTTGTTAATTTTGAAGTAAAATAAATTTACATTTACAAATATAATTTATGAATGCAAGTCGCCCTCTATGAATAGTTTTTAAGGTGTGGCATAATAAAAGCCCTGTTTTATTACTATTACATTAGATGGTGGTAAGGTAGGTAGTGAATTTAATTCGAAAAATCGCAATGATTTCGCATCTTGTGCGCAGTCTAGTTTTTGATAAGGTTTTGCAAAAATGAATAGGGTGAAGTGGGGTAAATGTAATCTTGGGGCAAGTGTAATCAGGCACCCTGTATTTTTTCTCATGAAATTTTTGGCATTTTTTTATTTAAAACTCAAAAATATAACCCTTCTTTTACTCATTTTTAGATTTTTTACCTTTTTTGGAGATCTGGCTGCAAAATCAAAAATTTTTTTAAGTTAACTTTTATTTAGACTTGTCTTATGAGTGTCACCTAAAAATTTTTATTTCAGATTCCTGCTATGAATATTAAAAAAGGGTTCAAATATTTTGCTATTCTGGGTTATTTTACAAGAGGAATCCAGTCCTGCTACCAGATTTTGATTTGAATGATAACAACAAAATTTACAGTAGTGATTACATTTACCCCAGAAAATCTATACATGGGGTAAGTGTAATCACAGAGTCAGGGGTAAATGTTATCGGTGATTATATTTGCTCCAGTCTCTAATATTTGGCTTTAATTTATAATTTTGTAATGTATTCTTGTTTGCTTCAGATTTTTAATGAAGAAAACACTAAAGTTTTATTTCCTTAGTATGTACCACAAAAAAGCTTGTAACTTGCTTATACAAGATATAAATTTGTTCTTTATTTCGTTAAAATCATAATTTTGTATTCTATATTACACTTGCCCCAGACACATTAGCACGATTTCTAGTTAGCAACTACGAGTCGTGATTACACTTGCCCCAAATGCTGGGGCAAGTGTAATCAGCACACTCGGTCCAGCATTATCATTTATATATAAAAGAATAAGGCGGTTAGAAAAATAGTTTTATTTGCATTTCTTAAACAACTAAATAACCAATAATCTCGCAAAAAATGGGCGCTGTACCTCTATTGGTTCTCTAGTTATTTTAGTTTAAAGTTGAGGTATCATTTTTTTGATTACACTTACCCCACTTCACCCTAGACATTTTAATTTTATAATTTAAAGAACTTCTTCATAAAAGACAATATTTTTTTTTTCAATTATTATTATTTAAAATATTTTTTATTTATACAATTTTTTGGTTTTTTAACAAAATTTTATTTTTTTTTATATTTTTATTAAAAAATATAAACACGAATTTTTTTTATTTGTTTTCTGTGACTATATTTGTAAACCATTTTCTTAAATTTCAATTATAAAAAGCGTTTTATTTACTCAATTTCTACGGAAAATTTTAATGTAAACGAGAAAAAACCTTAAAAAAATTTGTTTGTAGGTCTGGTTTAATTAAAAAATGGGACAAAAATAAAAATCTTAAACACTTAAAAAGACATTAAACGAACATGTAATAAATTAAGAAACTAAGAACAACCTAAACAAAGAAAAGTCAATACACCCGTATAAAGACTGTGGACAAATTAATAGATTACGCACAGCTTAGTAAAATAACGACTGGCTAAAATGGTTGAATCTTCTTTGAAGTCAGCTCCATATTATGCACAACCCGACTTTGGCACTGAAGAGAAGTTAAAGTTTTCGCACAGTGGGGCAAATAATTTGTAAAACAACGACTGAAAGAATCTTCTATGAAGTCAGTTCTGACAACGAAGGGCAAAATCTAGACCTACTGCGAACTAACAACAGATTTGAGTCATTTATATTTTGTTTCTAACATTTTACAAAAGAAAAAATTAAACCACTGATATATAAGTTGATCTTGACACTTACCTTGAAGTTTGGGATCCGGTTGCAGATGACGTTGAAGTTTTCTTTCCGTCAAGATAATTTAAGTGTTGTTCTAAGGCGTCCAACAGACTACTTGGCGCTTTAGTTAGATCTGGTATGTCGCCTTTATCTATACCAACGTTCTAACAAAAAGTTATATATTACTAAATGTCTAAAAATTTCATATTTTATTGTTTATGTAATGTATGAATTTTGAAAACCTGACTTAACGAAGCAATCTACAATCAATGCATGAAGAAGTTCAGCATACCAATTTAATCTAGAAAAATTTGAATTAATTCTGAAATTGTTGCAAAAAACCTTGTAATGTTTACATGCTATTGCAAAGGCTTGCAAGTGACTTAATAATTAATTAATGAATGTGTTAATTTAATTTAATTATGCACCTTTACCATTATTATTATTATGTTTATCATGTCCACAATATGAACACCACGAATATTTTTCCGACAAGCCCTTTTCATAAGATAATCGTCAAAATTTAATTGTTGAATTTTAAATTTAAACGAGGTAATATTTTTATTGTTCAATAAATTACTACTCTTGATAATTGGATTTAATTTACCTTGATGAAGCGCCATCAAGTAGATTAAATTTAATCTGCACTTCTGGGTATTCTATTCATACCAAATGAATGATACACCCTTCGAAAGCAATGTTTCTGTGTTTTTAATATTAATGAATTGCAATTTTACTCACCTCTGCTACTTTCAAAAATTCTGCCACCTTGTCCATTCTGATTAAAAATTTCTTGTAAATGTCCAGGGCTTCTTTGCATTGTTTTTTGTTCATGTCGAAGTATTTTTCTGAAACGAATAACGGGTTTAAAAATAGCGTTTTTTTATTGAATACTGTTCATGCAAACATGTCGTAAATATTTTTATAGGATTACTGAACTTTTAGGACAATAAGAGAAAGATAGAGAATAAAAAACTCTATCTAAGCTATAAAAAATAATTTCAATGTCACTTGACAGATGCCTACTATAACATTTTTTCTATGTCAAAATTCGGAAAAAATAATTAGGGTGGTTTTTTCGAAAACAAACTTAATTTCATCAAAAATTAACCATTAAAAAATATTTCAGACAAGTTTATTTTATCACGTTATAAACATACATTTTCAGCATGGCTATCTTAGTTTTTTGTTTTGTATCAATTTTTGTTGATAGATTTAGTTGAAAAATCTAGAATTTAAAATGAATTCATGTGTGTTAATTTAATATTATTTTAGAATAATGTCTTTATAAGAATGTCTATTAAATGTTATTAGTAAATAAAGTTGTTGTAAAACATTTATTATCGCATGGGTTACTAGACAAAAAGCTTCTTAATGGATAATAAACAACTTGACAGTAATTTAGTCATAGAATCGTTAATGTTTAATATTTTTTCATGAAACTTGGTAAAGATCTATTTCAGAGGACGCCAATTCCAGTGGCGAACGTGGATTTTTTCTAAAAAAAAAACGCTTCTATGGATTCTGCATTTTTCGGCCCCTGAATGGGATCTAGTAGGCCTTTCCCCCTCCACATTTAAAAAAAAAATCGTAAAAATCACTCCATAAATAAAAAAATTATGAGGGTGGCCCGCTTTCAAATGGGTCACTCTGTATATACAGTGTGACCCATTTGTTTGCGACTCACCTCTGTAAAATCTTTATTTATTGTGCGATTTTAACCGGATTTGTTTTAAAGTGTAGATCTTGATAAACTGTATTTTTGGAGCAAAAGACGCCATATTAATACAAAATACAAGGCCTACTATGTCAGTTTTTAAGAGTAAATTTTTAAGAATTCATATTAGCGATTTTTTTAAACAAAATATAAGCACGGCACTGGATTCACCACCCCTCAAAACTATCCTATACTAAATTTTATTGAAAAATTTTAAGAAAAAAAATGCACAAAAATAACTACAAAAATTTATTTTGTCAAGTTATCCATGAAAAAACATTGAAATAAAATTAAACTAATATTAACATGGTACTATTACTAAAAGTTTAATTTTATTTCAATGGTTTTTCATGGATAACTTGACAAAATAAATTTTTGTAGTTATTATTCTGCATTTTTTTTCTTAAAATTTTTTAATAAAATTTAGTTTAGGGTACTTTTGAGGGGTAGTGAATCCATTGCCGTGCTTAGATTTTGTTTAAAAAAATCGCTAATATAAATTCTTAAAAATTTACTCTTAAAAACTGACATAGTAGGCCTTGTATTTTGTATTAATATGGCGTCTTTTTCTCCAAAAATACAGTTTATCAAGATCTACAGTTTAAAACAAATACGGTTAAAATCGCACAATAAATAAAGATTTTACAGGGGTGAGTCGCAAACAAATGGGTCACACTGTATGTATGTATAATATTGTATATATATTAGGGTGATTCAAAAAAAGCCTTTTTTTAAAAATGAACCCGCACTGGCCTAAATTATAAAGATAACATTAAAACTAAAAGATTGATACAAAAAAATCCAAATTCGATGAATATTTAGAGGTCGCTCAAATCGATTTTCGTATTTTTGCACATTCGAGCCGCGAAATTATTACTGCGCAAAATAGTAAATAACTCCGTTAGTTTTTAATCAATATTATTAAAAATTTAAGGGATACCTAGTTTATGAATACTCTCTGAGACAGTGAATTGAAGTTTACGGAAAAAATTTTTTTTTTCATGAAAAAAAAATAATTTGTTAATAAAAACGTATCATCTTATAAAATAAGCAACAATTGGAATCGCACTATGATGGTACCGTAAAAAAACTAAGAAAATAACACTTAAATTATTTAGCATACATAAACCCTGCCGAAATGCATATTTTATTTGATTTATATAAAACATAACCTAAATATAATTAAGTTATTCAAATTTTTCCCATTTTCATACGATTTTATAAATAATTTATATCCGTTTTATTAATTATGACGTATTTTTATAAAATTTCTTTATTTTTGATACCATATTTAATTAATTACACTAAGTAGTTATTAATTTATGTCCTTTTTATAATTGAAATAAAAAAAATCCACTGCTCTACATCTGTAATGCAATGATTGTTTCTAATGTTAATTTTTTCAACCATTTTTCTTTTGTTTCAGTAGGTACTCTTTTATTAAAAAATGACAAACAAATTAGCTCTTCTCTTTGCAAATCTATATTTTTGTAAACATGAAGTTCATGAAGTGTTTTAAAATCATTTTTGGGCGCGCAAGTTGCATTTGGAGCTTGGAACCAGGCAAATATGTAAACCGAAATAATAAAAATACAAATTCTACGCAATGACTTATTTTCATTGTTAGTGAGTTTAAATTGATCCCGAAATAAGAAAATCTTTAGAGAGTATATAGCTTGGTTCATCCATCGGGCATGCTATCTATCTCCACCAAGGTATAAGATGTTTTTATTTAATTTCTCAACAAATTAGTTTTGGTACTTTGGTACGCTTTTGAATTAAGTAAATAATATATATATATATATATATATATATATATATATATATATATATATATATATATTAGGGTGTTTCATTTAAAACCAAAATTTTTTTTTTCTTCCTGACACATGATAATTTTATTTTTTAGGTTGAAAAAAAAAATTCCCTGAAAATTTGAGCCCTTAATATTGATTCTAAGTACTTCCTTTTTAATTTTGTAGTTTTTCCATATAAAAAGCATGCATTTTTAATCATTTTTACTTTAAATTTCTATATTTTGGCCGGGTTTTGAATTATAATTTTTATCACCATAATTTCCTGCATAGTTTTTGAAAGGCCCTGCAACAATTTTGTTTTTGATTTATTTACGTTGATTGTAGTAGCTCCAAAAGTCGTTTTTTCACTTTTTCTCACATATTTTTGAGAAAATCGAGCGAATGACTGGTTTTACCGAAAAAGTTCAAATAAAAAAGTTGTAGAAAAATTAATTTTTGACAAAAAAGATTTTGCTTAAGCCATATCAATGAAGTGAATAATTTTGAAGTTAACGTTATTTTATTTTAGTTGTAAAAAGGACCTAATTTAATAACTACCTAGTTTAATTAATTAAATATGGTATGAAAATAAAGAAATATTATAAAAATAAGTTATAATTAATAAAAAGGATATAATTTATTTATAAAATCGTTTGAAAATGGGAAAAATCTAAATTACTTAATTATTTTTAGGTTATATTTTATATAAATCAAATAAAATATTTCTTTCGGCAGGTTTTCTGTATACTAAATAATTTAAGTGTTATTTTCTTAGTTTTTTTATGGTACCATCATAGTGCAATTCCAATTGTTGCTTATTTTATAAGATGATACGTTTTTATTAACAATTTATTTTTTTTCATGAAAAAAAAAATTTTTTCCGTAAAGTTCAATACACTGTCTCAGAGGGTATTAAAAAACTAGGTAACCCTTAAATTTTTAATAATATCGATTAAAAACTAACGGAGTTATTTACTATTTTGTGGAGTAATAATTTCGCGGCTCGAATGTGTAAAAATAAGAAAATCGATTTGAGCGACCTCTAAATATTCATCGAATTTGGATTTTTTGGTATAAATATTTTAGTTTTAATGTAATCTTTATAATTTAGGCCAGTGCGGGTTCATTTTTTAAAAAAGGCTTTTTTTGAATCACCCTAATATATATATATATATATATATATTAGGGTGGCCCAAAAAAAAGAATATTTTTTTTTCTCTCGTCTCTTGTGAAAATATGTTGGTTTGTCATGTTTTAAGAGCCCTGTCAAACAATCAGCTCCATTAAAAATTTGTTAGGGGTCGCTCAAGATTTTTAAAAATTTCCAAAATCGTCAAAAATTGGATTTTTTTTTATTTTAATTTTTTTTCTCGTTCCGATAATATTTTTTAATTTAAAAATAATAATGATTCTGAAAATTTCAAATCAATATTTTGATTTCTAAAGGTCGCTCAAGATTTTTTTAACTTTCAAAGTAGAGTATTATGAATGTTTTTGAGCAACCTCTGAATATTCAAAAATCAACGAACTTTTAGCGACCTTTTGAAATCAAAATATTGATTTGAAATTTACAGAATTTTTATTATTTTCAACCAAAAAAATAATATCGAGACGAGAAAAAAAATTAAAATAAAACAAAAATTCAATTTTTGACGATTTTGAAAATTTTAAAAAATCTTGAGCGAGCCCTAAAATTTTTTTAATCGAGCTGATATTTTGACAGGGCTCTTACAGCATGATAAACTAACATATTTTTACAAGAGACGAGTAAAAAACACCAATAAGATATTTTTTTTCTGATGAAGTACTACAAAATACTTTAAATTTTAAATGCGCTTTGAAAAAAATAAGAATATTTTTTTTGCCTATTTTTATTAATTTTGTTTGAAATTGATTTAAAATACTTTTAAACATAAAATAATATTGTTGTGTTTTATTATTGGTTTGTTTAAATTACCGTATTTTTAGAATTAAACAATTTATTAAAATTAATATCAATTTTTTTTGTTAGAAAGGACAGCAAACAATATGGAGATTTTAGTTATTGGTTATATTCCAATATAAATTAACCTGCAAGTTATTTTTTAGTTCAAAGTAACTTTAAAACAATGTTAATGATTGAATACAACTAATTGGTTAAAAGTTTAAAAAACGTTATTTTACTTAGATTTTGGTTATTCCGATATAGAAGCAGTTTTTCACAGTGAGAGTGAAGAGGATGTTATATGGGCACCCCAGCCAAAATTTAATTAATGCCTTATCAGCATTTATCAAGAAGGGCCCTTAATTTTGACGGTTGTCAACTTAAGGCTAACTTCAGCCCGTGACTAAGACGCCATGTCGTGGGAACATATAACCAGTAACTCACCTAGCAAATTGATGATTCCATCGTTGTAGCAGGCGAACAGCCTGATCAGGTCCTTGAACAGCAGCATGAAGCACATGTTGACCACGCCGTTGGTCAGATCGTTGGCTGAGCAGTCGAACGCCAACAAAGAGTCCAGCTGCGCTTGCAACACGGGCACCGTCTTCAGCAATTTGTCGGCGTTCATTGTGCGCAACATGCCGTCCTCTTTCCTGAGACAATTCCAATAAGTAAGTTTATCGAGAATATACAAAATGAAAAAAGGGTGGGCTTTAAAAAATAGTATATTATGTATCAAGTTTGATAAACGCCATTTTAGTCACGAATTTAATTTAGGCACGAGCGAGTGCTTAATTAAATGAGTGCCTAGAAAAGTTGCATACTATACTTTTTCTACGACAAATACATATGACATTAACAGGATATTTAGTCTTTACTAGAGATGCGACTTGAAAAAAAAGGTCCGTTTTTTTTGTTTTTTTTTCAGGTTTTTTTTCATTGTTTTTTTTTCACATTTTAGGTCTTTTTCAATATTAGTCCCATTTACCTATTTTTTTGTTTCCAGTCCAGTTCATGGACTAAAATTAGTCACTAAATGACAATTAGTAAATGTAAATACAGTCTCGCGCTATGCACGCGCCACCACCACCGAATTGACCAATAAGGGCCGCACTTGATTTTTCAAAAAGCTACTAAAAGCTCTTTTTTCATGATTTTCCAAATTCATGTAGAGTATGGATTTTTTTTTAAACAATAGCAAATTCTTGTAGAACATGTATTCATAATAATAATAATAATAATAATAATAATAACATTCCGTGGACCAGAAAGCCAAAAAATTTTTTTATTACGGTATTCGTTAGGATTGAGCGTTGCACGTTTTTCATCTAAAAATCTCAAAACTGGAAACTTCATAATAAAGCAATATTATTTCTTTTTTTACGACCATTTTTAACAAAGATCTCAAGAATCGCAAAACATTTTTTTATCCTTTAATTTTTTGTATTAGTATAGAAGTTTTACATTGCTATTGGTTTCTAATGTGGAAACTACCAAATAATAAGAAATCAGATTTTTTAGTCTCGGTCAAAATTTTCAATAATTAAAAATTTAATATATTCTACATTTTACTTTATTATTAATATACATTTTACTTAAAATTTTATTTTGAAAAAAAACAAAAAAACCGTTTTTTTTTCTAGTTTTTTTTTTCATGTTTTTTTTTCCACATCTGAAAATAAACCGTTTTTTTTTACATCTCTAGTCTTTACCTTAAAAATGAAATGCCTATTTGACTTGTTTTGATATTTTCATCCATTTTGTTTTTACATGGGCTTTAAAAAAGGTCAACACATGGAAAATTAAAAAAACGCATAATTTTATCCTTTATCATATAAATGTTAACTTCTAGATAGAAATATAGAACTTTAGTCCATATCACAAAGTTTAAAAGCTTGTATAGCTCATTTTGTCATTTTTTTTGTGATTGTACAGATGCTTTAAAAGCACCAAAAATAAAATAAAATTTTAAAAATCGCATAAGTTATATGCTTATAAGTACCTACATAAATATACATATGCATGCATAAGCCAAACAGGCATTTAAACATTATAGTAAGGACTAAATATCCTGTAAGTTTCATGTTTCTATCTTGAAGTCAACATATTCTTAGAATAAAAAATTAAACAATAATCGTTTTTTAAATTTTAATGTTTGTTCCTTTTAAAGCCCATGTAAAAGCAAAATGGATGAAAATATCAAAACAAGTCAAATAGGCATTTAATTTTAAAGGTAAGGACTAAATATCCTTTTAATGTCATATTTCTATATTAAAGTCAACATACTTAAATAATGGATGAAATAATGCGACTTTTTACTATTTCAATATTTTTCTCCTTTTAAAGCCACTGTATAAGCTTCAAAGATGAAAATAATAAAACCAAACTACCAGGCATTTGAACATCAAGGTAGGGACTAATTATCCTGTACATTTCGTAATTCTATTTGGAAGTCAACATCCTCATATAATGGCATAAATAATGCGATTTTCTAGAATTGCAAAATTTCAAGCAATTTTTCTTTTGGAAACCGTATGCCAAACGGGTCAATTGTAAGTTTTATTTTGTCTTTGGTATGTAAACTTAATATATAAAAAAATTAGCTGTTCATATTAAACAGCCGAGACACGGGACGCATTTAAAAACACGAAAAATTAGTAAAATAAAATTTTTTCAGCACCGTGTAATTATTTATAAATATTGATTAAGTGAATTTATATTTTTTTATAAAAAGTACTATTTGTTAGCTTTAAAATGACATCTTAAAATTTAAAATATCTTTAATAGAAAAAAAAACTAAAGCAACATAAAGCCACAACTTATCAATGCGTATTTAAAAAGTCACTGTCAGTGTCATGGAAATATGTACGATAATGGGCGTTTTAAAGGCAGAAGTAGAAAAATGGTTTTAATTGCTTTAATAAAGATAAAAATGTCATATTATTAATATTAAACTAAAAGCAAATGTTCTTTTGAAGAACTTTTGACTTTCAAAATGTAACGTCCAAAATTTGATACTTTGACTTTTTCCTCATTAAATTTCCCCTAATTAAATATTTGTTTACAAATATTAGTTTTTTTAATTTGTACTGTGACATAGGTGGGGTGGGGGTTTACTCTGCTGTAACCATTTTGTGACAAGGAATGGGGGGGTCAAAAATTCCCTAAAAAGCGTGACGTCCTTTATGAACGACACCTTATAACAATGAAAAGTAGAAAATATAAATTAGTCAAGAATGAGTAAAAATACAAGAATATACGAATAAGTCAAGGGATGATTTGAACTCAGATTCTAATAATTGGTCATTAAAATGGTGAAAAAGGAAAAATATCGTAATATAAAAAGACAGTAAGTATTAAAATTAATTGCAATAAACTCACCCTCTTTTAACTTTGCAAAAGTCAAAGGCCACAGTTCTGTAGGAAATTGCCTTTTCATTTAAGTATTGAGAATATCTTCTTATAAAAGGCGACATGTCATAACCTAAAAAACACAACATTATTTATATTTACTTTCTATGAGTTAAAAAAACAAAAACGCATGCTAAAAAAACATACCTACTAAAAAAGTCCCAACATAAAACATATCCCAAATTTTGACCATCACCAAACAGTTTTTTTTTAATTATTTCAATTTTCCCCCGTTGCAGACTATACAGTGTGTCCCCGAATCGGGTTGCCAATGGAAAAAACCTTTTTATTTTTCTATAAAAATATAAAGGATACATTTGTTTTTAATTTCTGAACACCCAGTACATTTTATTTAAATTTAAAACGTTTTTCCTATTTAGGGACACACTGTATATTTATACTTATAAACAGTGCACTACAAGTTGCCCACTAACATTTATAAATTAAACTTACCGGTCCTTATTGAATGCGCTCCTAAGAAATTATAAGATTAATATTATTAATAAGCTTTTTGTTAGATTTATTTATTGCAAATTAAATATTAACTGTCTTAACATTTGCTAAAATTGTTATTAAGTTAATAAATATTATTATAAAAAAAGTATATGTCAAGAAAGTTTATTATTATCTTTAGGTACTATAATAAAATTATATTTAGCAATGGAGTTGTTTCTATTATTTATCAAAAACATGCTTGCTATATATTGGAATTGTTTAAGAAATAATATTTAATGCATTTTTAGAACACCCTCTATATTATAATTATTATTTATTCCTATTAATAATCCCGGCACATTCGCCATTTTTTGAAAAAATATTTTTTTAATATTAAAACTTCTGCATTTCGTATTGACCTCTTTCTCTGCAGGTAGTATTTATCATAACTACATTGGCAGTAAGTGAGGTTATAACCGTCAGACAGTAATCGAGGAGCTACTACAATGATTATGGAAAAAGGTGGTTTAAAACTAATAATAGATATTGTTATTAAAAAAAAATGTTCAACTAAAAATATGGGTTATTTTCAAATTTCTTGTACATTTGCTGTCCCTCAACTTTATTATTTTATAAAAAAAAATTATTTAATTTCGGATTTAAACAAATATTAAAGAATATTGTAGATACATTAATGGAGAATCGCTCACATTTTAAAAATTACTAAAAAATACACGTACACGTTTATAATATACAGGTTTAAACAAAAATATGTTTTTTACCATAAGTTTAAGACACTCTGTAGAGTGGCAAAACCGTATATTGTTCTAAATTAAGTTTTAATTATCAAGTTACATCTATTTTTAACAGTTTTGTTTTTGGTTCACCTTGATATATTTCTTTTTGTGGAAAATGTGGATTTTTTAAAAAAACATTGCAATTCCCAATATTTTTCCTGTATGAAGAACTAAGGTTGCTATGGTCCATCCATAGCCTATGGAGGATGACAGTGACAGTTTTGTTGAATCATCCCATACTTGGACATGTCATATACAGCTTTCAAAAGCTATCAAATTGTTTTTTGTAAATTAATGTATTAATTTTGAGGTGTCTTCTTACTTTTAAAAATGTCTCCGACTGATGTTGCTTTGTACTTTACTTCTTGGGACGTTTAAAACACTTGCAACGTAATACTGTGACCGTCCATCCTGGATTAAATTAATGGCTCTGGCAACATCAGTCGGAAACATATCCATTTTTTAAAGTAAGAAAACACCTCAAAATTTAAACATTAATTTGCAAAAGACAATTTGATAGCTTTTGAAAGCCGTGTATGACATGTCCAAGTATGGGATGATTCAACAAAACTGTCACTGTCATTCTCCATAGGCTATGGATGGACCATCGCAACCTTAGTTCTTCATATAGAAAAATATTGGAAATTGCAATGTTTTTTTAAAAAATTCATATTTTCCACAAAAATAAATATATCGAGGTGAACCAAAAACAAAACTGTTAAGAATAGATGTCACTTGATAAATAAAAGAACAATATACGGTTTTGCCACTCTACAGAGTGTCTTAAACTTATGGTAAAAAACATATTTTTGTTTAAACCTGTATATTATAAACGTACGTCTATTTTTTAGTAATTTTTTAAAATGTGAGCGATTGTCCATTAATTTATCTACAATATTCTTTAATATTCGTTTAAATCCGACATCAAATAAAAAAGTTATTTGCGATTGAAATTCATAGAAAATTTGTGTGGACCGATTAATTTGCCTGTGAGTGTAGAAAAGTTTTAAAAACATTTTTTTTCTCGACCTTCCACCTTTTTTGTTTCTGACAGTACGTAGCCAATTTAAAATAATGGCCACTAGTAATTTTCCTAGACAATGTATTTTGCCTTAAAGAAGCTGGAAAATTTTTTTTTGGTAGTTCAACGAAACAATGTTTATATTGACTTTTTATTATTATTTTATTATTATTAATAATAACTAAAACTTTTTATTAATTTATTGCTCGTTAAATTGGACAAGCTGGGCCCATATAAAAAAATCGAGAAAAAACGTTTTTAATACGCATTAAAAGAAAATTTCATAGACACATTTTTTAGTAGATATTTTTTAAATAAAAAAAAATACTTATGTATGTAAGAAAGTTTAGAAATATAAGAGTTTTTGCTTTTACTTAATTTTGTCCTCAAATTTTTTTTATGAATATTAAATTTATGTTCTTTTTTTAAACAAATCCTAGTGTAAATAAAACCTTAAAAGGATTATTAACAAGCAAAAAATTATATTTTAATAATAATTATGCATTTTTAAATACGTTTTTTTAATATGTTAGTAAATTTGTGACCCAGGGAACCATTTTTTTCTTTATTATGGGCTTATTTAAAAAAAACTGCCCACTTTTAGTTGTTAAAAATCTCCCCTAAATAAACAAAATTTGTTTTTTTGTTTTTACTTTTTCTTCTTTAAATGTACTAGAATTTTGAAAATGACCCATATACGTTGTCAAGAAAGTGTTGGGATACGAAGAACTAACACTTTGACTCGTAAGATCGTTTATTGTAAATAAGTTTTACATAATAATTAAATGAATAATAAATATTCGAGAAGTTAAATCTTAAGTTAAGTGAGTGAAAAGTAAGTAGTAAGTGTTCTTTTGGTTTCTAAAAATGAGCTTTTATACAGCGCGATAATTTTTATCAGTTAATGGAAAAATAGAAGCGCTGTCTTTGAAATTATGAAATATCTAATGATGCGTAATAATTACTTGAACTATTTGAACTTTTTATTAATTTAATTTATGGACTTATTTTTTGTAACCCTAAAGATCACGACTAAAAGATTATTTAATATACATTAGAAAAACAAACTGTTACCAAATAAATATACAGGGTCTAACAAACCTCCCCCGTTAAGTGTTTCGATAAGGGTTAAAAATCCTATTGAAACACTAAATGGTAAAATTAAATTATACAATCTAAAACTTATAAAACACTAAGTAAACTACAAAGATACAATTAAAATTTAAAGTGTACAATATATAAAATAAAAATTAAAATAAAATTGTTATTATTATAATACCTAAACAAAACTATAATTATGAAATTAGTGTACTATATAAAAAAAAAATTTAAAATAAAATAAAATAGTGGTTATATATCTAAACAAAACTATAATTATGAAATTAGTGTACAAAATATAAAATAAAAATTAAAATAAAATAAAATAGTTGTAATTATATAACTATACAAAACTAAAATTATGAAATTAAATTTTAAAAGATTTCTTCGAAAGACGAGGCTTACGCATCTCCGTGTAGACAGGTTCTAAGTCCTCCATGGGCATTGCATCTGCTTCGGAGTTGAGACTACGATAGCTTCTTCTGTGAGGTGGAAAATCATCCAGGTTGACTCGGTTATCAGATACAGTATTGTGGCTGTTGATACAAACCAGGTGACGGCATTGGTCGGGGTTGAAATATTTCTTTATTGAGTTTAGAAATCTGCAACGACAACATCGGCAACAAACATAGTAGCATATTATTAGCATTACTAATGTTCCAATTATTCCAAAGAAGATGTTGTACCATTTGGAATGGTTGATAATGAATGGTTGGTTTATATTTTTCTGTAGGACGTCGTCGAACTGTTGGAGTTTATGTTGTGCATGACTCAGTTCATTGAGGTTGAGGCTATGGAGTTTGATTGAAGACATTTCTTCATTTTTGAGGTAGGATTGCTCCTTGATACAGCAATCGTCTTTATTGATGTCCAGTAAAGGTATAAAGTTTGTATAATTTGACGTTTGGTTGGAAGTTGAAGTCAATAACGTGGATGTAGTGTAGCATTTACATTTCGGTTGTAGTGTAAAAATACCGGAGCCTTGAAGTACAACGTCTGTGATTTGTGAAGCACCATAATTTTCGCAGCTTATGGTCCCAGTGACTGGTTGTGTTAAGATGTATAGCCATTGATTTGTTGAGATGGGATGCCAAACTTCGATTTCTGACTTCATGGTTTTGGTGTCGCAGTTTGATGGGATTTTTTCAGGTTTTTGAAGTTTCAGAATCGTTTCGCAGGTTGGTCTTTCCTTGATTAGATATATGATGATGTTGGAACAAATGTACTCGGATGGTGATATCTTCTGGCATTTCGATAATTCTGACATTTCTCCATAATACGTTCTTGTCGTACTTAGGATAAGGTAAGGGAAAGAAGGGTTTATATAGGAGTATATTGAAGAGTTTTGATATTGGACAGGTAAGGGAATCAAATTATATAGTTGATACAAATCTTTAGTTACTAGTGGTATCTTAATTGCATAAATTAAAACTTTATTTGTGTAAACTACTGAGAGTGAACATATTTGCGTGTATTTAAAAATGTTTGCATTATCATCTAGTTCTATTGGAAAATCTAAATCTGTCCTTTTATTATTAATTTTCAATAATTCATCGCGTAAAGATTTTGGAGTAATTATTGAAGGGTGCAAGATATTTTGTTTGGAAAATAATATTGAAGAAATAATAACATCGAATTCTTCGTCTAATTCTTCGGTAATTTGAGATAATAAATTTAAATGATCCATTACTGTTTGAACGTAGGTTAATGAATTTATTCTAACAATGCTTGAGTTTGAAAATTTATTAAATATTTTTATGTTTTCGTTTAACTTTTCTTCATTAAATTTAAGTGTCAATGCTGACCTATTATAACCAGAGATCGCTTCAGAGATTATATGAACTTGTTGTTTTAAAAGTTTTTGCATGTCTTGATTTTGATTTACTACTGCATGAATTGCGTCATTATAATATTCTGCATCATCTGCATCGGGGATTCCAAATAACTATTTAAATGTATAAGATACACCGTTAATTAATCCTCTTTTTACTCTAAGTGACATTTTATCAGGTTCATGACCTGTTAGGTGGTTTATGGCTTCGAGTTTTTTATTTAATTTTTCAAGTCGAATTTCTATTAATTCTAGAGATTCTTTGCATAAAAATTCAGAATGTCTGAATGTT